GTGTGCGTGTTCTTTAGATCCTCAGATGGCTCTAGCACTTTCGTGACCACGGGCTGAGAGTCTTTTGCTAGATTTTGGCATTTAGCAGCTGACATACGGTTTAATGTGAAGACAATAATAACAACAACGACTCCGGAATTATTGCGGGAACCGTTCCTACGTTCCTGGAATTTTCCGGGAAATTTGCCCTTGTACAAAAATAACCCGCATGCTTTGAAACACGCAAATAACCGTTATTATGTTATTTTGCGGTCTGGAACATGCATGGTAGACGATTGTGAACGCTCCTTATGACAACCAATCTTGACCATATTATAGTTGGTGTGCAAGTATTGTCAGTAATACCGGTATGCAGCATTTCTACTACTTGAGCAAAGTACATGCAGAAATCGGGCGCTACGAAATCGCAAAAGAAATGCAGAGTCAGGATAGTTCGTGATGTTTTCAGTGGTCCTGAATACTCAAATTCAATAGAACTCTCGGCAGGAAAAGCAGTGACGGTGCCGAAAATGGGAAAATGGTGGCGTTGGGGCCGCTTCGTTGAGAGCTTTCCGAAAACGTGTACTACAATTTTGGCATCCTCTTCGTCGTGTAGTGATCGAGTTTTGGTCCGTCCAGGGTGTGTGATATCTCATGCAACCTACGGTACCCGGGTATTTCGGCGCCCAGGTGCCCGGGTACCCGACCGGTTCCAACCCCGGAGACCCCACCCGGTACCCGGTTCCAATTTTCTAACCCGGGGCACAATTTTATTTGTGTTGCACCCCATCTTACAGGGCCAACCCGACCAAAACAAAAGTGAGACTTTGCTGCTTTGCGTTTGGACATTGTTCCGCAGTCTAAGTGACACAAAGGTAGGTTGTGAGCACAGGCCTCGTGGCCACTTGGACGATCAAGTGTCATCTCACACGTGATGGGCAGGGTCTTCGTTTGTCATGTGGTTACCGTTGCCCACACCTTTATTGGCACTGCTCTGAATAGTGGCATGTTATCCTCTTTCTTGCCCCTATATGCCACTATATCGGGCCACCTACTGCATCCAGCGTCGGCTGCGAAAACTCCAACACTAGTGTCATCACAGCATGCGGAAGGAGCGCAAGCGGGCTACAGCAGAGGTGCGAACCAATGCCGCCATCATCAGGTGCCGCCTCGACAGCTCGATCCAGCCCCTCTTCGTGTGCCTGCCCGAGCTCGGCGGGGGGGAGGATGGCATCGGTTTTTCTGTTGCCGATCATTAGCACTCGCTCGATATCCCACGAGAGCCGGAGCGGCGCGATCGCCGCGAAGTCCACCTCTAGGTTGCTCATCCAATTGGGATTTTCCCCCCCGAAGCTTATCGCAACGTCCCTTCCGCGATTTCCCACGGCTGGGCCACCGGTGCCGATGGTAGCGCTGCTCGCCCCGCCTTCGGTGGCCGCGGCGCTCTGCTGTGCCTCAGAGGACTCGCGCACCATGATGTTCCCGATGTGCAACAGGAGCCACCCCCCGGGGTTGTCTTCGTGGTACTCTTGACGATGAATCCACGAAACAGAGGCCTCGCCATCCTGCCGCACCCCTTCAGCGCGCTGGGAGTCGGTGGTCGAGAGAAAACCGAAATCATCCCCCGCCGGGCGAACCTGCAAAAATGGATCGGAGAAGGATCGGAAAAGTTGCACAGACTTGAAGTACAGTATGCAGCAGACGCAAGTGTGGCGTGGCCGATTCTGCTACATATTCAACGAAATGAAAGATGTTGAGTTTGTCCGCGGTGGGGGATTTTCGATTTCGAAGAAAAATCGAAATGTCCGTTATAAAGCATTTGACCACCCCTTCGAGAAAGAGCCGGGGCAGGAGCCTGTTGATGCAATACTTCCTCTGTATCATAAGTTAGGGTACCTAAATGCAATAGATTGTCTGGGTGCAACCGTGTAAGTGATGGTAGCATAGTCGGGTTTGTACGAAAGATATAACAAAGACGAAGCGATAGAAAAAAAGAAAAAAAAAAACGAACATCTATTTCTGTACCTAATATTGGTCAAAATATACCCTATTTTGGCCTGTTTTGGGAATATTTTTGGGAAAATATTTTGGGATTTTTTTTGAGAATTCTCGACAAAATTCTCAAAACCATCTAATATTAGTACCCTACCGGCCCACTACTCACTCTAGGCGCTATGCAATGGCGGTAGAAATTGCGATGGGCATTCAGCCGGGGTTGTCAAGGATTCCCAAGGGCGTGCTTGACCCGATCTGCGAACGCTACGGTGTTGGAAAGAAGTACCCGTCCAAGTTGTGGAAACGGGTCAAAACCCAGATCGACAACACCCAGGAGCTGGACCTTTCAAACGAGAAGCGAAGTGGGCGGCCGTCGCTTCTCGCCCCTTCAAAGATTGCGGCGCTCAAGAAAGTCAACAGCCAGAATCGGTCATTCACCCTCCGGCAGGTGTCCGACCAGCTGACCGATCTCGGGCTGGAGTTCGGTAAGGACACCGTGAGGCGGTGGTTCAGCGAGTTAGGGGCGGCCAAGAAGGCTCGACGCATCAAGCCGTCCCTTTCCGACGCCCACAAGAGGCACCGAATCGACTTCATCTCCGATCGGGTGGACGAGACGATCGGGGAGTACCTCGACCAGGGAAACGTCGTCCACCTGGACGAGAGTTGGTTTTACCTCATGAGGGAGAAAGAGAAAGTTCGAGTGTTCCCAGGCGAGGATGTCCCGGGGGCCCCTCGCGTTCAACACAAGAGCCACCTTCCAAAGATCATGGTCATTGTGGCAAACGCTCGCCCGGACCCTGCCCACGACTTCGACGGCAAGATCGGCATCTGGCGGATTTGTGTCATCAAAACCGCCCAGCGATCGTCCAAGAAGAGGAAGAGAGGCGAAGAGTACGAGTTCGACTGCACCATCGACGCGGAGTGGTACAAGGACTGGTACATCGACGTACTTCTGCCTGCGATCAAGGAGAAGATGCCTTGGCTACGTTCAAAGCGCGTGGTAGTGCAGCAGGATGGCGCGAGCCCCCACACGGGCAAAGGGAATCCAGAGATTCTCAACTCGGCGGGGATAGGGCGGGGGTGGTTGGTAGAGCTTGTGACTCAGCCTGCCCAGTCGCCTGATTTAAACATTAACGACCTGGGCTTCTTCGCATCTCTCAAGTCAAGGGTGTGGGGGATGAACGCGTGTTCGATAGACGAGTTGGTGAAGACTATTTTCGAGCAGTACGAGGAGTACGACGGGGAGACGTTGGAACGGGTGTGGCAAAGCCTTTTCAAGGTTTACAACCAAACACTTCGTAAGATAGGCGATAACGATTTTAGTGTGGAACACACCGGGGTGAGCAAGCGGCAGAGGGAGGGAACGTTAGAGAGGGTGGTAAAATGCGATCAGGAGGCTTTGAACAAGGCTTACACCTGGGCGGCATCGAGTCCAAGTGATGACGAGGAAGAATAGTCGACCTTTTCTTTTTTTTCCCCGCCACCAACCAACCCTTCTTTTTGTCCCGCAAGTGTCTTGATTTTAGTGTGCCCCACCAAGTGTCTTGATTGTAGTGTGTGACCCCCAAGTGTCTTGGTTTTAGTGTGGTTCACTACTATACTGCTTTTAGTATAGAGGGGCGCGACATGGATCGTTGAGTAGAG